CATGAACATCACCACGATCCAAAACACCGAAGTCACGATCACCACACCCAGCCCACCACGAGTCCAGGGGACCATCTGGGCCCCTGAACTATCCACCCACGACACTGCATACATCCAGACAAAACTCGCCACCCAGCTCGTCACCGCCGTCTACCGACCACCGCGCGGACCACAAGCACTCCTCCATCTCACCTTCAACACGGACGAACTCCCACCACGCATCTTCGCCGGCTACCTGGCCTACCAGGTACGCCGGCTGATCCCAAGACCGCGGCGGTGCACGCACTGCCAGCGGTATGGCCACCTCGCGGCAGCCTGCCGTTCAGGGTTGGTCTGTGGCACGTGTGCTGGCGACCACGCCACAAACACCTGCACCAGCACACACAGGGAGTGCGCCGCATGCGGTGGCGGCCACGCCATCACGGCCAAGGCCTGCCCCAAGTGGCAGATGGAGTCTGAGATCTGCCGGCTCATCACCGTAGATCACATGCCCCCGCGGCAGGCAAGGAGTCTCATGCAGAGGGAGTTCGGGTTCCAGTCACCCAACCCTCGCCGTCGCATGGAAAACGTCCCACGGCCACCGCCAGTGGACTCCACGCACTACCCACCACTGATACCACCCACCACACCCACCACACCCACGACAAACACGGCATCAACCACACACAGCACACCCACCACACGTGACTCAGAAGACCTCTTCTTGAGTCAGGGCGCCCGACCCAAGGGATCGCCTGTGAACGCCGCCCCCTCCAAGGAGTCGGGGCCCCACCCAGACGGTGGCACCCCTACACGGGACGAGGCCACCTACCACTGGGTGACCGCAACCACAAAGAAAAAGCGACGCAGCAAAAGCCTTTCCAACCACACATCACCCGAGCGCCGCCAGCCCAGCCGCAGAGCCCGGGTACTCCACAGCACACAGTAAGCCATGGGACACCTAGAACGCAACATACACATACTCCAATGGAACACAAACAGTCTCATCACACACTTTCAAGAATTCAAGAACACACTCCACGCACTTCAACCATCAGTCATCTGCATACAAGAAACACACCTGAAGCCATCAGACCCATACTCTCTTGACATTTACCCATACACACTCATCAGAAAGGACCACCACGACAGCTCTCTCTCACCACGGCGGGGAGGAGTCGCAACATACATCAAGCACAACATTCCACACAGAAGCATACCCACCAACACCACAGCAGACATCCAATCAGTAGAAATATACACTCGGCACAATGCACTTACAGTCATCAACTGCTATCTCCCACCAGCAGATGACACAATTGACAACAAGCTGACAGAACTTGACAACATCATCACAAACACTAACACTCAAGTACTTCTACTGGGAGACTTTAATGCACACCATCCTCTCTGGGACAAAAACACACCACGAGACACACGAGGCCGAAAGATTCACAACATTATACACAACCATCAGCTCGTGTGCCTCAACACTGGCGACACCACCCTACCGGCCAGACAAGTCGGACACCGGGACACAGCACCAGACATCACTTTTGCATCACCCGACATCTCAAGGTCGTCACAATGGACTACACTGGAAGACACCTTGTTCAGTGACCACAAACTCATTCAAATCACCCTCAACGCTCAGGCCACGGCCCATACCACGCATCCACGTTGGAACCTCAAGCATGCCAACTGGGAAGCATTCACCAATGACATGGAGCACACAGACACAAACAACATCACACAGTTCACAGACAGGCTTATTCAGACAGCAGAAAAGTACGTTCCAACAACGACTCCCAAACCACAAGCACAGAGAGCAGTCCCCTGGTGGAATCAAGAGTGCAAACACGCTATACTCGAACGAAAGAGGGCACTACACAGACACAAAAAACACAGAACACAAACAACGCTCCAACAGTACCGACAGGCAAAAGCACGCTGTAGACGCACCATTCTACAGGCCAAACGCGACAGTTGGTCAGAACACATCAATCAATTCAACAGGTTCACACCACTTTCAAAGATCTGGAAGCTCGCCAAATCATTTGACAACAACAAAGAAACACTGACAAAATCACGTGTTATACACCACAATAACACGACCATAACAGATCAGGGGACCATCACTGATCTATTTGCAGAACACTACCTCGACAAATCATCCAGTATGGCCAACCCGATTCCGCTAGCAATCTCACAAACAACAGACCACATATTCAACAAACCATTCACAATGCAAGAGCTCAACAACGCAATTTCGAAGGGAGGCAACACGAGTGTAGGACCAGACGAGATACACTACAGTTTTCTCAAACACCTCGGGACACAGGCGCGCACACAACTCCTCAAAGCATTCAACACAGCATGGCACACACACATATACCCAGACACATGGTTCCACGCACACATCATACCCATACCCAAACAGAACAAAGACACCACACAACTTGGCAGTTTCAGGCCAATCTCACTGACCAGCTGCCTTCACAAAACCTTCGAACGAATCACACAAGCAAGACTTCTACACCACGTCACCACAAGAAACATCCTATCACCCGTTCACTCGGGATTCCTCCCCGGCAGGAGCACCACTGACAATCTTGTCAGGCTCACAGTTGACGTGCAATCCAGCTTTGCAAGGAAAACCTGCACAGCAGCACTATTTCTCGACATACAAAACGCATACGACACACTGAACATCACCGCACTTCTCGCCTATCTCAAACGCATTGGCATAGATGGACACCTCATGGCCTACCTGAACAACTACCTCACAAAACGCACATTCAAAGTCAGACACCTCACACACACATCAAACACACAGTACCCGAGCACCGGACTCATGCAAGGGACAGTACTCAGTCCACTGCTCTTCGTACTTGCACTCAACTCACAACTCAAACAGAACACAAGACAAGTCAAGATAGCCACCTACGCCGACGATATAGCAATCTGGACAACACAAAACCAACTAGGAAGCACTCTAACACAACTCGAAAGGACACTCAACAACATTACTCAAAAACTTCAGACACTCAACCTTCACATCTCACCTTCAAAGACACAATGTGTCGTCTTTGGGCGACATAGCACCGAAAACAGCCAACCGCTCATGCTCAATGGCACACCTATCCCTTTCAGTAACAATGCAAAATTTCTTGGCATCACTTTTGACAAGAACTTGACATTCAGCAAACACATCAATGACATCCGCGACAGAGCGACACGACGCATTAACATTCTCAGAGCACTCACCAGCACGGAATGGGGAGGTGACAGACACACGCTCACCAAACTCTACGAAGCAATCATCCGACCGGTTCTTGAGTACGGAGCAATCATTTTTGAAAACGCTGCACCTACACACCTGAAGAAACTCGACGTCATCCAAAACAAATGCATTAGGACCATCACAGGCGCCTACCGCACTTCACCTGCAGCAGCACTCCACGTTTACAACAACACGCCACCTCTGCACTACAGGAGATCACAAGCACTCTTCAGATACTTCTTCAAAATCCAACAAATCCCACAACACCCATGCATTCCACTGATCAACAGGAGGTCGTGTTACACTACCACACGGAGATCACGCAACAGAATCACAATCGGCAGACGACTTAAACAACTATCAAAGACACTTGACATCACACTTCCAAGGTCACACCCTGCACCACCCCTTCCAGCCTACTGGGCTGACACAGCACCCACCACCCACACCCTCATAGATCAAAGCAAACACACACTCACAGACACAGAAATACAGCAAAGTTTCCTCGAATACATACACCATCACAAACCGACCAACATCTTTTTCACTGACGGCTCAAAGCACAACGACAGAACAGCCGCAGCAACCATTCTTCACCGACAACAAGCACAACCGACAATCACCTTCAGGGCCCGCCTCCCAGACCACACATCTGTATACACAGCAGAGCTATACGCCATCTACACAGCATACACCACAATCCAAGAACATCAACTAACAAACAGCATCATCGCAACAGACTCCAAGTCTGCGGTGACCGCTATCAGACACACCACTACGACCCGAACACACCCCATAATCCACCACATTCTATACACGCAACACCAACTTGACCCGGAACAACAGCCTGCCATTATCTGGATCCCCGGGCACTGCGGCATCCCCGGCAATACGCAAGCAGACGCACACGCCAAACATGCACTTCAGCAACCACAACCGATCCACATCCCACTCTCACTAAATGACTTTACACCCATTATCTCAGCCCAACTACACAAACACTACCAGTCAATATGGCACAACACACGAACCGCACTACAAACCATTCAACCACGCATAGAACACTGGCACACCAAGAACATGAACTCACGCAAAAACGAGAGGGCTATCACACGACTTCGCATCGGACACACCACTATCACACACAACTACATCATCACAAGAAGCCCGAGACCAAAATGCAACACCTGCAACACTTTCATCACTGTCAAACATCTGCTACTCACATGCCCACAATACCAACACCACAGGACAAACATACAAACATACTGCAGAGACGCCAACATCCCACTAACACTCACAACACTGCTCGGGGACTTACACCCCGAGCTAACAACACTACTCATCCACTACATACACAACACTGGGCTGATAAATGACCTGTAAATCTCCTCCCCTAGAGCCAAGGACAAAAAAGCCAAAAAAGCCAAAAAAAAGCCAAAAGAAAGAAAAAAGCCAAAAAAAAACATTCAAAACAATGACAATCAAAATAAAAGACCCCAGAATGGCAAAATGGCAAAAAAAAAGACAAAAAAAAGCATAAAAAAAGAAAAAAAATAGAAGGGGCAATCCGGCTACCCGGGAGGAGATAGCTAGGAACCCTGACCCACCCCTCACCCCACCCTTTCGAGCCAAAGAAGACGACGGACACTGCAAGACAACGGACGGACCAACAATGAAGACGGACGACAGAACCGGGCCCAAATACAGGACGCTGTGGTGGCCCGTAAGCCACAAATACCTACCTACCTACCTTCGTGTTGAACAGTGTATTGCACTCGAAGCGCCGCCATGCCACCGAAGACTAGCGGAAAGGCCGCAAAGAAGGCCGGCAAGGCCCAGAAGAATATCTCCAAGGGAGATAAGAAGCGTAAGCGCAAGAGGAAGGAATCGTACGGCATCTACATCTACAAGGTGCTGAAGCAGGTCCACCCGGACACCGGTATCTCGTCGAAGGCCATGAGCATCATGAACTCCTTTGTCAACGACATCTTCGAGCGCATTGCTGCCGAGGCCTCGCGTCTGGCGCACTACAACAAGCGCTCGACAATCACCTCTAGGGAGATTCAGACTGCTGTCCGCCTGCTCCTCCCCGGTGAGCTTGCCAAGCATGCCGTGTCGGAGGGGACCAAGGCCGTCACAAAGTACACGAGCAGCAAGTAAGCTGGCTGGCCTGGCCAGTGACGTTCCCAAGGGGGGGGCCACGGGGGCCAAGGCCCCCCCTGAGCGCCGAAGGCGCTCAGGGGGCCCCTTAGGCCCCAGGATATTTTTTAAACACTGGATAAAACGTCTTTTACTCGGAAGAAAAATTGATATTAAAGTTTCATTTATGTGCCCTGGGTACCCGAGGGGCCCCTGCAGTCATCCAAGGGGCCCCAGTTTCCTGGGCCCCTGGTCGCCTAGGGGGCCTCTGGTAGCCGGGGGCCTGGTCTCATGGGGGCCCCTGATAGCCTGTGGCCCCTAGTCGCCTAGGGGGCCCTGGTCGCATGGGGGGCCTCTGGTCGCATGAGGCCCCTGATCGACTGGGGGCCCCTAGTTGCCTAGGGGGCCCTGATAGCCGGGGGCCTGGTCGTATGGGCCCCTGATAGTCTGTGGCCCCTAGTCGCATGGGGGGCCTCTGGTTGCATGATATTGAGGCCCCTGATCGCCTGGGGTACCTAGTCGCCCAGGGGGCCCCTGGTAGCCGGGGGGCCTTGTCGCATGGGGCCCCTGGTTGCCTGGGGCCCCCGGTCGCCCCTAGTCGCCTGGGGGACCCTGGTCGCCTTGGGCCCCTGGTAGCCTGGGATCCCCTGGTCGCCTGGGGGCCCCTGATCGCCTGAGGGCCGCTGGTCACCTAGAGGGCCCCTGGTCGCCTGGGGGCCCCTGGTAGCCGGGGGCCTGGTCGCATGGGGGCCCCCTGGTCGCCTGGGGGCCCCTGATCGCTTTGGGGACCTGATCGCATTGGCCCTTGGTCGCCTGAAGGGCCCTGGTCGCCTGGGGCGGTGGGGCCCCTAGTCATCTGGAGGACCTGGTCGCCTGGGAACCCCTGGTCGACTGGGGGCCCCTGGTCGTCTGAAAGTACGCTTATCACCTGATTGATCCCAAATCATCTGAGTGGCTACTGGCTACTGGATATAAGTAGTGACTGGAGTAGGCACTCATCTGAAGGAGCCAATATCTTTCACGGTGCCGGAGATATCACAGAAAAACAAAAAGGCTCAACTGAATACCCCCCAACCTTGGCCCCAAAGGCGTCATTGGCTAACACAGGGATGTGGGTCGATTTGCAATCGCATTTCCTCCTAAGTCCTATTCCTCCAATTAATACAGAGTGTCCCAGAATTACCCAAGCATTTATTTGCTGGCTAAAAGTACAATTGCGCTCGTTTCCTAGTGAAACATATAATAGCCGCGTTTACATAGAGCTAGTTGCCAGATAGTGGAATTCCGATAACGAGACATTTATTCCCCACTATTATATTATATACCTACATATCCGGAATTGGAGGATGTTCAGTAATTGAGGCGCTCGCTCATAAAATGCCGTGCGTTTCATGCACACTCCTCAAGCAAAAATATTTTTACTTTCCAATTTTCCACATTTTCTCAAGGCTTAGACCGTTACAGAGACCGTTTTAATTGACTTTGATGAAGTTGAACGCGAGAAATCACAACCAAATGCTACATTAGGTTGTAAAGAACTGAATGGCGTTTTCCCACACACGCGGCGTTTTCTCACCTACGTCTGCAGGAGAGACAGGACCCACTATGCCCCCCCCCCCCCACCATCGAAAGGTTCTTCATGACTCCCGGGGGCCCCCGGGGAACCTGGGGGGCCCTATACACTGTGGGGGGCCCCTTCGAAAGCAGGTGGCCCCCTCCTGGGCGAAATCCTGGGTACGTGCCTGGGCCTGGCAGCCGGTGCCGGTCGACGCTCGCTTCATCTCATCACTGATCATCGCTCATCGCCTCCCATGCCGGCCGGTGCCGCTCCTAGCAGCACAAATAGGTCTTTTTCAAGACCAATAAATCAAATAGTGGACTTGCAGCACAGATGTTTACATCCGGGTCATTGTTGCAGCGGGTCGTTGGCTTCAAGCAGACGCTGATCTGCACTCACCATGGTCGCTATCGAAATCGCAACAGAACGGCATGATAAGGGACGTAGCGGTGGCAGCTACTAGCGGCGTTTGAAATTTTTTGATGTTGTTTGAAACACAACATCACATTTATTGCTGTTCTAAAGAACAATCCGAACGGCAAGGATGAGTCGCCACCGCAACACTCTAAACAGCTACGAGTGGAGACTGCATTGTAACACAAGAAGGCAGCACGAGAATGCAGCGCAGACTGAGGCAGTAGCACCTCGGTAACTGCATTCGCGAATAGGCCGCTAACACCGCGGTAACTTATATTTGTTACCATTCACACTACATAGATACAGTTACACGATACATACACTCTAGAATAACACGATACACCCTAGCACCGATCTACGCCGCGCACGAGGTACGGTGCCAGGTCTGGATCATCCAGAGGGTCGCGGCTCCGCGGTAGATCTTGTGCAGCAAAATACGCCCTCATTTCCTCGTATATTTGTCTGTATCTCGCCAGGCGAGCTGAGATGGGGCTGTTGGCGGACTTTGGAGGCGACTGACACGGGTCTCCGGCAGTCTCCACCTTCTCGCTGCACAAACACAACATTGGTTCATGTATTTATTAGCATTCATACACACAGTCATACTTGTGCAAGGTGTCAGTGTTCGATTGTGGGGTGTAATAGCCAGGGAAAAAGTTCTATGAACTGAAAAACCCGGCGCCTATTGCAAAGGGAAAAACCCCGCGCTGAAGCCAAAATAGCGCGGGGAAAAAACCTGTATCGTTTAAGCTAATGTGTAGGAGGGTGACGAAGAGGGAGATGGGAGACGGTTCCGCGCGGGGAGGGACACCCGGGGTCGCCTAGCAGCAAACGCTTCAGCCCCCAGTCGGTGTTGGCGCTGCGACGGTTGTTGGCACGGGGCCTTTACCGGAGCGCGCAATATGGAGACCGTCTATGCAAGGAGGGATAAGAAGAGGGACAGGGAGATGACTCCGCGCGAGAAGGGCGCCCGGAGGCCAAGCAGGAAAAGCTAAGCCCCCAGTCGGTGTTGACGCTCAACGATCTCGGCCCAATCGACCTGATCGGAGCGCGCAATGGAGTCACCTAAGTGTTCGCGGTGCCGCGCCTCCGCCGCCGTTAGCGCGCGTGTAAATCACAGGTGATTAGGCGAGATCGACGATTCAACGGAGCAATTAGTGCGAATGAGAAGCGGTGGGGGAACAACATCGAACGATAATCACAAAAATCACAAGAACAACATCAACAGCAAGAATGGAAGATCAATCATTAGCACGTACAATCAACGGCGCGGCGGAGAGAAAATGGCGGAGAAGAATGTAGGAGAGGAGGAAGTTTCTGGCACTAGGCCAGGCCGGGGGTTAAAGTTCGTGGAGAAGTTGCGCGTCCTTGAGAAATGCGAAGAGTTTTTCGAGGAGAAGTAGATGGTCGTCTCCCAGGAGAGTGGGGAGATCCAGATATCATCTGTGCTTAAAAAGACAAAAACGAGACGATTAGATGGCTCTGATAAGAGCCATTGACATGTGCCAGCGGAACGGTCAGGCACATCGTTCACTTCTTAGCCGGGGCCTTTTTGGCGGCAGGCTTTTTGGCAGCCGTCTTTTTGGGCTTCGGTGCCTTGGGCTTCTTCGCCGGCGACTTGGCCTTCTTAGCTTTGGTTGGCTTGGCCTTGGGCTTCTGGGCCTTGGCGGGAGACTTGGCAGTCTTCTTTTTGTCCGCGGACTTTTTGGTAGCAGTCTTCTTTGGTGTCTTTTTCGCGGCCACAGGCTTCTTAGGCGACTTTGCGGCGGGCTTGGCCGGCTTGGCAGCAGCGGAAGACAGCTTGAACGATCCGCTGGCACCCTTGCCTTTGGTCTGCACCAGGGCGCCGCTGGTGACGCCAGTCTTGAGAGCCTTTTTGATGAACGGCGCCAGCTTTTCAACGTCGACCTTGTAGTTCGCTGCAATGTACTTCTTGATGGCGATCAGCGACGAGCCTCCTCGCTCCTTCAGACCTTTGATGGCTCCCTGGACCATCTCGTTGGTGGGCGGGTGCGTCGGCTTGGTGCGAGGCACCTTTGCCTTGGCCGCCTTGGCGGCGCCAGCAGCAGGGGCGGTGGCAGCGGTAGACTCGGTCATCTTTTTCTGGCGTCAGGTATAGTCAGTAATAATAGTCGCTTTTTTTTTTTTTTTTTTTTTTTTTTTTTTGTCCTCCCGGCAAGCCAAGTGGCTATAGCCGGGGGAAGGGGAAAGTTACTAGCTGGCAATTGGCCAGGTCTTTCGTTTACGTTACGTTAATGCCGGCTATTTGATTCCGGCCCAAGAACTAAGAGAAAGGCAAAAGACTACGTTAAACCGGCTCATGTGGCGTCCGGTGGGTTCAAAGCAAAGGGAAGGCCGAAAGGTGCCTGATGGGCGAGACAATAAATTTGGTTACTTACATAGAACTTGCTGCTGAGACTTGCTGCTGATTTGTGTGCTGTTGTTTGGTGTGTGTTGTTGTGGGGTGAACTTACCAGGAAAAGTCCTAACTAGAAAAAACCTGGTGCCTAACCAAGAGGGCAAAAACCTGTGCTTTCAGCCAAAGTACACAGTAAAAAAGCCCTTTCTTTAATTACGTTATATTACGTTACGTTATATCGCTAATGTGTATGTGTGTTTGTGGAGCTATCACCTTCATCCACTCCCGGGGGCCATGGATGCAAGCCACCTAGGCCGCGCCCGGGGTGTCCGGCCAGATAGCTTTTGTGTCTCGAGTGGGCCTCAACCTTTAAGAGGGATCCCTGTCGAGTTTACACACATATATAAATACACTTGGAAAAGGCGGAGAGAACGAAAGCGAATGGAAGCAAAACGAAGCGGATGGAGACGACGATGGAGGATCATAAGAACATCTATATACTGTGTGCTGGGTTGCGATCATATGCTATTGATGAGATTCGAATCACTGAGGAAGGTAAATAGAAGTTCAATTAGATCTGGATGATCATCACCCAGGAGTGTTGGGAGGTCCAGGCTGAGGTTGTGTGTGTTTGTGTAGTGAATGATGGGTTGACGGTATTGGTCGTAGTGTGGGCAGTTGAGAAGGAGGTGGGCAATGTTGAGTCGTGTTAGTGGTGTGCAATGTGGGCATGTGGGTGGGGGTTCGTGCTGGTAGATGTATCGGTGTGCGATACTGGTGTGTCCAATTCTCAGCCTGGCCAATACCGTTTCTCTAAGACGATTACTTTGATTGGAAGAAGCAAATGATTTGATTTTTGGGTGAATCGGGTGTAGATGTTGATTTGGAAAACTATTCCAGTCGAATTGGCGAAGGTCGAGAAGAGCATTTTGGATATGATTAGCAATATCTTTGTGCGGACAACGAAGTGTGTTTCTTTCCGGTTTGTCTAGGCTATTTTTCGCTAGGAGATCCGCCCTTGTGTTACCGGGAATCCCCGCGTGTCCTGGTATCCACAACAGGCGGAATTCAAATCCTTGTTTCTGAATTGTAATTATATGTTTCTTGATAATGTATATTATATGATTGTCTTCTTTTTTTCTGCTTGAGATGGCACTGACTGCCGAAGCTGAGTCAGTGCAAATTACGCTTTTTTGGATATGTTGCTTGTTGATATAGATAATAGCTAGCAGAATCGCTGATAGTTCAGCTGAAAAGACCGTAAAAAGATTATGCAGGCGAATGGAGTTTTCGTAGACTTTTGATGTGACACCAGCGCCTGTTTTGCCGTTTGATAGTGATCCGTCAGTATAAAAGAAAGTATGATCGTTGTATTGATTTACATATTGTATGAAGAGTTGAGAGATTTCTTGTGAGGAGATATGCTTCTTATTTTCTGAGAAAAGACGATCTACGTTCTGGATGGGTGCCAGCCAGAATGAGGTTAGAGGGGGGATAGGCAAAATGGACGGGAAAGAAATGTTGAAATGATTAAGAGCCTTTTCTACGCGATAACTGATCACTGGGAATCTCCTTTCAGGATCGCTTGGAGGAGACGAAGAATATCGATTTGTAAGTATTTGATTAGAGGGATTCGAGGGGTTCGCGCAGCAACGAAGATAAAAGCGGAGAAGAAGATATTTGCGTCGTCGATCAAGTGTAGGAATGTTGACATCAATGTGAAGATTGTCAATATTGGAAGTTTTCATTGCACCGGTGATGATACGAAGAGCGGTGTTCTGAATCACTTGGAGAGAATCAATTTTTTTAGTAGCTATATCATCGTATAAGAAACCGTTGTAATCCAGGATAGGACGAATTAGGGAGGTGTATAGACGGAGGAGGGTTCTCCGATCGGCTCCCCACTCCCTTCCGGCTATACATCTCATAATCGAAAGTCGTCTGGCGCATCGTTGTTGAATGTCTTCGAAGTGTTTACTAAAATTAAGCAAGGAATCAAGTGTTATGCCTAGATATTTGAAGTGTGAAACGAATTGAAGATTACAATTGTTGATTCTAAGGTTACGATGATTTGTTTTGGGGAGTCGTCTTGAAAAAATGACCGACTTTGATTTGTCTGATGAGAGGACGAGTCCCCATTGATTACACCATGTTTCTATGTTTTCAAGAACGTGTTGCATGATTGTTAGGCCTTGATCAAGATCACGATGAGAAACCCAAAAGGCTACGTCATCGGCGTAAAGAGAGTGTTGTATATTGCTAGGTGTGTTGTTGAAAAGGTCATTGATCATGATCAAAAAGAGAGTAGGAGAAATTACACTGCCCTGTGGGAGGCCATGATCTAGCGTAAAGAGTGGAGAGTAGGTGTGGCCACAACGGACTTTGAATGTTCGATTAGCAAGGAAGTTCTGTATAAAGTTCGCCATATGGCCGCGAATACCAGTTCGATGAAGTTTAATCAGAAGAGCGGATTTATTGACTTTGTCGAAGGCGTTTTTAAAATCAAGGAAGACTGCGATCGTGTATTCCCTTCTTTGAAATCCTCTTTGAATTGTGTCAATTATGTGAGTAACGCAATCAGCAGTTGACCGACCAGGTCGGAATCCGTTTTGGTAAGTGGAAAGAAGATTGTTTGATTCGAGATACGCCCTAATTCGTCCGTTAACCATTCTTTCTGTTAGTTTAGAGGCACAACTGGTGAGAGATATAGGTCGATAGTTAGAAGGGTTTGAGGGAAGTTTAGAAGGTTTGAGGATAGGGATAATGGTGCTTTCGCTCCAGGAAGCAGGATACGAATTGTTTTCCCAAAGGTGATTTAGAGTTTCCAGGAGGGTTTGCTGTCCAGATTCAGGGAGATTTTTGAGAAAAGCGTAGGCGACCTGATCTGGACCAACAGATGTGTTGCCACATCTGTTGAGTGCTGATTGTAGTTCATGTGCTGTGAATGGTGCATTGTATATTTCGGTGTTGTTGGAGTGAAATGAAAGGGAAGCAAGCTGGGAATCGAGTGTTGTGGTTAGTTGTGGAGTATACTGTTGTGCTGATGAAATGTTAGCATAATGTATGGCGAATTGTGTGGCTACTTCTAGTGGTGTGAGATAGTGGGTGTTGTTTATGTGTAGGTGTGGAATTTTATAATTTCGGGGTTGTTTGTTGGAGAAACATTTTATGAGAGACCATATTTGCGATAGGGGGGTAAAACGATTAAAGTTGTTCGAGAAAAGTTGCCAGCTCGATTGTTTTGCACTAAGAATAATTTTGCGGGAATGAGAACGAGCCTTACGCGCTTCCTCCTCATGAGCTGAGCATAGGCAGCGCCTAAAGGCGCGTAGTGCCCGCCTCCGGAGGGCGACCGCTCTCTGGCATTCACTGTTCCACCATGGAGCATTATTATAGGGGCGGGGAGGACCTGAAAGTGGGACTGATTTACGGGCGGCGTTAAGTATTATATCTAGAAAAGTGTTAATATCTCTAGGGGGAGTTTGGATGTTTACGTTAATATGGTTTTGATATTCAGCCCAATCGGCTTTGCGAAAGTTCCATCTGGGAAGAAAATTGAAGTTGGATTGTCCTGAAGGGACGTCAAGGGAATAATGAAGTGGGTAGTGATCGCTAAAAAGTGGGTCGTCCGCAGTATACTGTGTGAAGAGCAGTGCGGTGTTAGTGTCAGTGATGGCGAAGTCAATGACGGTGTGTGACGCGACGCCATTGTTGATGCGTGTACACGTGGGGACGCGATTTGTCAGTGGTATCAAATCAAGTGAGTCAATTACGTTAAACAGTTGTGTTCCGCGCGTGTCATTAAATGCACAACCCCACGACTGGTGGTAGGCGTTGAAGTCTCCCATCACAATGAATGGAGGGGAGATTTGGGAAAGCAATTCTGACATTTGAGAAGGATTGAAAGGAAAGGAACGGGAAAGGTAAATAGAGAGGATAGTCAGGTCACGTTGTGCAATTTTGACTTTGACTCCGACAACGTTAAGCGCTGTGCGGAGTGAGATTTGGTGATGCAAAAGATTATTGGAAATATAAAGCGCCGAGCCGCCTTGGCGTGGGTGAACGTTTACGTTATTAGTATATAGAGAGTAGTCCCTGATATTGTAATTATAGTTTATAGAGTCTGAATCCAAAAATCTGGTTTCCTGGATTGCGGCTACCAACGGTTTGTTATGCAAGATATAGTTTTTGAATTCAGCCCAGTGGTGTATTAGCGAGCAAGTGTTCCATTGAAGGAAGAATTCGGGACGGTTGTGATTCATGTTTAAAGATTAAGGCTGCGCACCGCCGAGCGAGTCAGACGGCGGTCTGTCGAAGAGGATCGCGACTGGGAGCGATTGTGAGACGCAGGACTCGTTTTCCACCATTCCGGCGCAGACTCTGGCCACTCGTCGTCAGTGTCGCTTGTACCAGAAGCCGCTGACGGGTGCGGCGCGCCTGACTTGGGCCTGGGGAGCGGCGGTGCCACCGGGTGCCTAATGTTAGGGCTGGCCGGGCTTGAGGTCGCGGTCGAGAGGTCTGACTCGCTGTAGTGCTCAGTCTCTGGGGTGGAGGGAACAATCGTCCGGTCAAGCACCGGGGAGGCTTCCGTTGATGCCTCGGAAAGGGAATAGTTTCCCTCGCGATCCGGGGACTCACCCGCTTTAGCAACCTGGGGCGCTGGGGTCGGTGGGTGTTCCGTGTGCGCGCTGGGGTCGGCCGCGGGGGACAAGGGCGTCTCGCTGGCTGTGGGCGCGCTGAGGGCCGACGCGGGCGTCTCGCTG